TATTCCTTATGAACACAGATGCAAACATTTTCAATAAAATATTTGCAAGCCAAACCCAAGAACACATCAAAATATTTATCTACCATGATCATGTTGGTTTCATCTCCAGAGATGCAGGAAAGGATCAAAAGCACACTGACACTTCACTGAGAAAACATATTTTTAGATTCTTTCACTGCACAAACAAAAAGATATCCGTGGGGGATAAAATCCTCCCTATTTTGCTCAACTACAGTAATAACTTATTTCCTACATTTATGTTAACATAGTAGATAGTACAACTTAAATATATATAATAAAAAAGCATCCAGCAGGTATTAAAAGAAATGAATTCTTTTCCACAGCTACACTGTATGTACCCCAATCACACAGATCATCTTGACTGCATTATCAAGAACAAGAAAGTATCCTTTAATGTGGCTTATGCTAATAAAGGCATGCTACAGGATACCTTAAAATACATTTAGGAAATTCTGATCTATATTTGAGAACATCTTAGAAAAATCTGTAGGTATATCTAATTCAATCTATACAACACAACCCTTAAGGGAATCAAAATATTTTAAATTGTCATAACAAGAGATCAAAATTTGACTAGCACATATTTTTTGTTCTTACTGAGACATCTATCTTAAATAAATCAGAATATATGTTTCCTCTTTAAGTAACAGAGTCTGCTTTAAAGGCATCATGCAATGACATAATCCTTATACCAAGATTTGCTTCTTAAAAAAGGAGGTTCTATTGAAATATCATCCATATATATACATACATTTGTTATGCAGAAGAGTATCTCTTAATGACAAAGCATCCGCTGTCCTAACTGAATTCTATAAAAGGAAAGGAAATGGGAAGCAAAATCTACATAATATTAAGAAGAAAAATAACAATAAAACAGTGAATTTAAAATATGTGTACATATTACAGAATGGACCACATCAGTAAAAAAGGAAAATAATCCAGTACCCACCAACAAACATTGCAGTGAAATGGCCTGGCTTCAAATGCTACATGTACACGTTACTAGCTTTATGACCTTGAAGCTGAACTAACCTCTCTGAATTTCCCTTTCTCCACCTATCAAAGAATAACATTCATGACTAGAAGAGAGGCTTTAAACACCAAAGCCTGACAATATCTAGTGTCTAGTACAGAGCAAACACATAAAAGTGGTGGTGGTGGTGGGGGGGGGGCAGCTTGGTAGTAGAACACATGCCTAGCATGTAAAGGCCCTGAGATCTATTCCCAGTGTAGGTAGAAAAAGCTACAAACAGTAAGAGAGTAAAGCTTGTTTTCTCCCTCTGAACAGAACATACCAATCAGTTGGCAACAGGAAGATCTATATGTGCTAAAAATTATAATTACTTACCCATAAATATCTTCTGCACCCTAAAGTCCAGTTTAACATTAAGAGAAATTAAAGTTTGCTATGAAAGTAATTTCATCTTGGTTGTAGATAAAGAATAAAACACAATTTTAATTTCTACATTAATAAAATAGGATTCTGTTGAGTAACAAACTGGTAAGGAAATTAAATGTATATTTTAAGTATTTTGTTGTTTTTAGTATAATCAAAGTATTGATGATATTCAAAATTACCTACACTTGTTAGAAAACAACATTGTATTCTTCAGAATTTATTTTTTTAATTCAACAGACTATAATTAGCCTGGAAGTAGTTTAAACTATTACCCAATAGAGCCATTCATTTATCTTGGGGATTATTTTACTCCATTTTCTTGTAAAGAAATAAATGTAAGTGGCAGAATGAAACAAAAAAGTCAGCAGTGCAGAAAGCTTTTTAATAAATTACATTTTGGCAAATGATCACAGACAAATTAACAAAAGCTGACTCATGCTGATCTCATTTATTTGTTCTATACATATCTGATTAATCGGCATTAATTCTGTTGATGGAAACAGGAGAACTCTATTGTTATATACAGATTAGAAATGTAAACACTTAGCATTTCCCACAACTACTTTGAATGTTATGTTAAATAACATTGTGAATGCCAGAAATGGTTAGGCAGGCAAAGCGCACTACTGCCCCCTAATGAAATAAACCAAACCAAACCATAACAAAACAAGAACACTTTATTCTAAAGTATCTGCAAACCTGAAAACCATCTTACTTTGCAGAATGCAGACGACAGATACAAAGGGCACTGGCTGAAAATAACTAGACTATAGATCTGTCCAAAAGCTACAATCATCCATTTTTCATGATAAAATTAGTAGCAAAACAGGAAAGCCTTGAGACAGAAATATTCTTAGGGCAAAGATAAAACAGCCAAACAATGTTATCTAGAGTGAAAGCAAATGAAAACTCCATCACAAGCTACACATTCATGGGCATGCTGTAAGCGACACCAGGAAAAGCAGCTCCTTATAAACCACACTCTTTGCTACACTACACTGTGAACGCTGTCCACATATTCTCTCATTTACATCGACTCTAATCCTCTCAGGATCTCAGTGCATGTATATTTTCAGAGTAACTGTTATGAAATACATATTTAAAAGAATTCCTACCTACAGCTTACTATTTTACATAAATGATTTTACAATCTGATATTTTGTACTTTGTGGTACTTTCCATTATAACCCAAGTAGTTCTAACTTCTAGTATTTCAGTAGTAGTTCTTCCCTCAGCAAATGTGGTTTCACAACTTGCTCCATGCATGCATGGCCTTGCTCTTCCACTACAGACTCTCAACCATCCCTGAATTCTGCTCTCCGGACACAGGAAACCGAGAGGGAGCACAATACAGTTTGTGGTATTTAATAACAGAAATGACATAAACAGTAACATCCAATAGCCACAGGAAGAAAAAATAAAAAGAATAAATCATGATAACAGGAGAACGTAAACAAAAAACTTCAACTCAAGGCAGAACTCAGCAGTTTGCTGAGGAGACGATATGTTGTCAACTGTTTCTTGAGGCACAGAATCTCTTGGACCCAGCATGTTCCTGCCCAGCTTGACAGTGGTTTTATATTTCATTATATGTCCAGTATCTAGGAAATATTAACTGGGTCAAGTCCATGCGGCGCCATAGGAGGGGGCAATATAAAGAAATTGTCAAATCTGCACACAGGCTAAAGAGCTCACAGTGGGTGCTTCTCGCCTTGCTCTTCTACTGGGAAAGACAGTGGTTGTCTAGTTCTGTATGATACAGGGCTAAATAATGCTGGTTTGTAATAAAATCCAATCAAAATTTCAAAAGAGCAACAAATGGACAATGTAAACACTTAAACCCATAGAACAAATGATCTAGATTTCACATCTGCATTGACTTCCTGGAGAGCAACATGAATTTTAGAAAAGACTGTCTTGCTAGAAGCATTGTTCCTTCATTCCCACTGCCTCACGACAAAATGGACACACAGGCATAAAAGCATGGTTTTATGCCTGTGTGATAGTGCTGGGGATCCCAAAGCGAAGCACCACGACATCCCCGGTGCTTAAGGCATAGCTAATATTTGGTACAAAAAAATAACGTTCCCTAGCTCACATAGTGCTGTAGCTCTGTAGCTACCTGGAGTTTACACACAGCAGTCATAAGGGATCAAACAGAGGCAGCACAGAGCTACTTAAATATGCCACTGTTCAGTCACGGTGAGCCCCAGCCTACTCCAGTGCCTTCCAGACCATTCTCCTGAACCTAAAGGAATGCCTTCCTTGGTTCAGAGAGGGAAAGGAACTTCCCAGGCTGTCCTTTTGCTCTTATGCCCAGGAAGCATAAGTATTAGAAGTATATCAAGAAAATGAGAGAGATGACATATGATACAAAAAAGAAAATGACAATAACTACATTAGCAAATAAACTTAGTAAGAACTTTGGCCTGAAGCAAATGGAATGACTGATTGATTTTAGTTCCCCACACTGTATTGATGATGGTGACGATAACAGCCAGTATTTATACACAGTAGGCATGTAATTTTCACAGAAAACCTGCAAGGTACACACTATATGCTACAGAAAAAGTCTTACAAAGATTAGGTACCACACCACAATTATGTAACTACTAAGCTGCAGCACAAACAATAATATAAGTCTCAATTTCACACTTGACTAGTGAGTTTGTATTATTTTCCAATGGAAAATGTGTAATATTTGGAACACTGTATTAAACTAATACATTATATATAAGACAAATCATACTAATACTTTGTGGTTATATATCCTGGACTAGCCAGTGGTCCAATTCTTCAAAGAGACACAAATGCCTATGAATTAATAATAATTGTAAACACACTATCAGAATACATCCTATTCCATTATGAACACAGCACATTTACCCACTGTAACCTGTCCATCTTTAGCTCTCCCACAGCAACCCATGGCCAGCTCTATTCAAACATCTCAAAATAATACAAAGTCTCATCTACTGAGATAGGGATCTACTCTCCTTTTCTATCTTAAAGGGGTAATTACAGTATAAAATATGATAGTTCTCATTATATCTGAAACGTATATCTCCAGTGCCATAGTAGGGAACATCCCATAGTACTTCTTTCACCTTTGGTAAATATGTTCAGGTTGTTCCAAAATTGGTATTAAAGGAGGAGCTGCCATATGACATAAACAAATGCAAAAATCTATCTTGCAAGAGTTAGGATTTAAACACATAACACACTATTCCCCAAAATGTAATTCACATTATCTGACTGGCCCAGGCATTGGCTGGACAACAGCAAACGTCCCTTTCCATTTATGCATGCAGTTTACAGTTTAAAACACACACATACATACATACACACACACACACACACACACACACACACGCATCAAAAACAGTAATTTCAAAGGAACTCCATTAAATTTTTACTTCTCACAAATTAAAAGACATTATAGAATGGTCTATAAGGGAAGCACATTGCAAGATAAGCTGTTGTCGCTGATTTACACGTGGATTTCAAGGCCAGACTCCGCTATCATGATGCAAGCCCTACCAAACAAACTACTGCCCTTCACCAGGGCGCGGTCTCTCACCTTGGAGTCTTCCTGGCTCACTCCCAGTTGCAGCACTGCCTGAGGAGTCTGCAGCTTTGCTTGCGCCGAGTGAGCCATTTGCAGGTTAAGCTGCCATCCCACCGTCTCAAGCTACAAAAGACAAGTGAGGATTGGGTTCAGATGGTACAGAAGAAAAGAGTCAACTTTAAGCACATTTCTACTCGAAGGAATCAACACAAATAGCCTAGACTCAATGGAAAGTTAATTTCAGGCTCCTTTAACCTGAAATCTCTGTACATTTTCCCTCTAGACTCCGTAGATCAGCCTCTTGTTGTACCTGTCAAGTCCAACAGTAAAAGTAGTCTGAACACACTACTGTAAAAAACAGAAATGCTAATGTGACCCAGTTGTTTCTCACACCCATCATGTAGCCCAGGTTGGCCTTTGTGCCTCATCTGCCTGCTGCACCTCCCAAGTACTGCAATCACTAACATACACTACCATACCCAGATGTTTTTTTTATAGCCTTACTGTTATTCTAAAATAGCACTTTAAAAATTCACACTTTAAAAAAATACAAACCAGTTCATAAATAGCACGTTTTAGCGAAAATCCTTTACTGACTTCCTACTGTCATTAAAAACTCTTTGTGTTAGATGGAACACAAATCAGGCTTTCTTTTCCTCATCTCCTACTTCCTTCTTTTCTTTTCTGTTTAGAAGGAAATTAAAATATCCAGACACAAGGTCTTCACCATGAGGCACAGTCAGTAAACAGACAACCAGGCAAGAAACAGCTGCTGTACCAGCTAGCCTGTGGTACCAGAGAGGTCATTATACTTTCCAAAGTACATTAACTGACTATGGCGCCCAATTATGGTGGAAACTAATTGTTTCCTTTGAATTTACTACCACAGAGTACCAGTTAGTCAGGTAGGACAAAATTAGGAGAGAAAGACTTCGGCGTTTAGGTTCCCTTTGAAACATCACACAGCAGAAACAGCTTCATGAGACTCAGCAGAGTGATCATGTGGTTTTTAGATTCAGTTCCCTATAAGTCTCAGGCTCCAAGCTTTGTGAAGTGCAGCGGTTACAGGCCTCTGACAGCACAGCCTTCAAGATGGTTTAGCCAAACTACCTTTGCTTCCCAGGGTCTGAAGGCCAGCCTCACGTTGCTTGCTGGACCAGAATAGTAATCACTTAACTGGAAAGAGTATTGAACAGACACAGCAGTGACTCGAGGCCAAGCTGGAAAGAGCGCAATGAAAGTATCATCAGCATGGGAGACGGTATGATGAGAAGGCGGAGACACTTCTGTTTCTCCCTGGTCCTTCACAGATACAGAAGGCAACATAACCCATAGTCCTTAACAAGTAAGAAGTCTCTTCAAAGGTGAGGGTTAAGGAACCTTAACATGCTGATTACCAACACTGATGGGAAGATTCCCTAGAATGGTGTCCAATATGAGCCTGCCTCTGTTTCCAACAGTCACAAGAACAGACCTCCAAACACATCAACACACCTCAGGAAAAGCACCTTCATGGTGTTCATATGGACCTGTGAGTACTTCTTGCCTTTATTGTCTGACCCCATCCATGCCATAGATTAATGAATGCCTGGTTGCTGCCTACCATTGGTGTGAAACAACCAGACAGAGCCCTGAGCTTGAACACCCAGCTTTGGTTCACATGTAAGCCATTGCTCCCTCACCCCTGACTAAGGTGGTCTTAAGATCTCCATTCCCTCATACAAAACAGAAGTCCATCTACCTGAACCATCTGCTTATCCACCTCCTTAATAGGTACAAAAACAGGAAATCTGCATTATAGTGTTTGTGACATTTTAAGGCATTATAAATATAAGGCGTTATAGTCACCTGACTTTTCCGTATCTCTCATGCAGTTTTCAGTACAGACTGTCATGACTCAGCTCTTCACAAACTGCCAAAAATTGTCTCCAACTGGGTCCCTACCTTCACTCTTATCTCGATTTCATTTTCCTTCTTCAAAGACTCAGTAACATCATAAAAAGCAATTCCAAAACTTTAAGTCCTAAGTCTGGTATATAATTTCATCAAATTTAAGAACTAACTACATTTCCAAGTATGTGTTGTAACATACCTTAGTGAGTTTCTATAACCCCTCCATAATGAGTCACACGTGACTCCTAGAGTACACTAGGAGTTGCACATCTGTTCTTTGGCGCCTACGTGACTTCTATGGTTTTCTCCTTCCCCTCCCTCTGTAGTTGGGCACCCTGCTTCTCAGGGCACAGTTTCCTTTTCTATTGATGTTTAGATGACAATACTGTAATACCTGACTGTATCTCTTCTCAGGGTCAACTGTAAATTCCATCATGATGAAGCAAGAATCAATCATCTTCATATTCCTATAACCTGCAATAGCCCTGATAGGGATTCTTCTCAAATAAATGATAGATCATAGTGGTGTGTGTGTGTGTGTGTGTGTGTGTGTGTGTGTGTGTGTTTGCAAGAAGGAGTATTCACACAAAAATCTAGTTATATTTCCAACTAGATACAGCTTTTTAAGAAGACAGAATTATAACTTAAGAGCCAGCATTTGCTTGATCCAGTTGGCGTCTCTCCCCACCTCACCCCACACCCACAGAGAGAGAGAGAGGGTTACATTTGCTATCTATAGACCAAAGCATGCCCAACAGATACTATTCTATAAAGAACAAGCATCACCCTGTATCTGCCATTTGGTTTAGTCAAGAATGCGAACTGCGGGCTTTTCGAGTTGACCTTAATTAAGGAAGTGACTTCTCTAAGCTTCCACTTACAATGGGGGAATCATACCACGTGAGCAGCCTGGGAAGAGTTAAATGCCGTGCCATCGCCTTAGTGCCATTTCCTAACTTTCCACATCTGTGCTGCTTCCAACATGTCTGCCTGTCCATAAGCATTCGCACCTATGCATTCAATCACACCACAGCTATTATGATTCTGAAAAATATAACTTAAAATTTAAATCATTAATATGAGAAACTATTATGCATTTTGCCTTGAAGTTTAAATACAATTTTTTGAACTGATATGTTTGTTATATGCTTATTATGCATACTTATTTTGGAAAATTGTTGAAAAGAAATGAGTCATTTGAGAAAAAGGTTAAAACTTTATTTCTAAAAGTTACTAATTGAGGATTGACCACTTGGTAACTGAAAGGTTTAGAATATTATCTTTTAACAATGTGCCCACATTTATAATTACATCCAATTTTAGAAGCTTCTCCATCACCCTCTCCCAAAGTAAAAAAAAAAACGATTACAGAAACTGTGGCCTTGACTAGAGTCAGAACACCATCCAAGAATGGAGTCATGGGAGGGAAAGTCTGAGTACTTGTGAGAAAACTCCAAGAAAACCTGTGACCTCCGTTTCTTAACATACACAGATTGCTCTTAAAATGCACTTTCACGCCCTTCCCAGGTAAAGGGGATAGCAGTGAGTTTGCTGTAGATGAGCATTACAACTGGCTGTTGTCATTTGTCATGCCTCTATGGGAAAATAAACTTTTGCACATGCAGCTTGTCCTTGCGATTATATACTCAGATAACCTTTCTTAACCCAAAGAGTATAAACTGTCTGATGCTCTGAAAACAGTGGGCTACTGCATGAGACCTCAGTCCACCTCATTTTTAGGTCCCATTCTCCCAGGTCCCACCACCATCCTGGAGCAGTAAACAGGCCAGCGCTGAGAATGACTGATTAAACTGATGCCTGCAAGTCAGACAGGCAGAGCCCAAAACCCATGAACTACATATATTATTTAGTTCATGGGCAACAGAAGACATTCTAGCTGTCTCTATTCACTGACTTAAGTGAGAGCCATCAGTGATGTCACAGGAAGCGGAGAATGGGTTAGGGATGCAATTCAGGTGGTAGAGTGCTAGCCTGACCAGCACAAGGCCCTGGGTTCCCCAGCAAGTCCTCAACCTGCTATGGCATCCTGGAATCCCAGTGCCCAGGAGTAGAAGCAGGAGGCCCAAAGGTTCAAGGACATCCCTGACTACCCAATGAGAGTGTGACACCAGCCTGGGCTAAAGATCCTGTCTCAAAAAGAAAACGTAGATCTGAGTAGTACATAGTGGTCAACATAAATGTCAAAGTTCTCCCATTGCTTTCATGTTACAAAGAGGGGGGAAAGCTGGCTGTGGAAAGCTTTCACTATCTAACCCGAGAGGTCAAAATTAACATGACCCCAAACGAGGAAACTGTTGTCAAGAGCTTAAAGATTATGCACTGTGATGGCTGCAAGATCCACAGCCAAAATTAGATCATGAAGAAACTATAGAAAATTATAAATTAAAGACTATCCAACAAAGATAAATTGTATGTATATATCAAAAACATAAATGTATAAGGAATAACTCCTTAAATTGCTTGGAAGATGTTATTTGCAGGGTCTAAAACAAGCACTGGCAATACAAATATGAACAAGAGATGTTCTCTCTGCCAAGGTAAAAGTCGTATAGTACACTAATTAGTCCTCTGAGACCCATAACGAGAAGTGAATATTGCTGTCATCAATATTTTAATTACAGGGAACACAACAAAATTTAGTGTACAGTTCTGCCTTAAGTTAGCTAAGCTTTATTACCTCTGTTCAAAACAAAACTCTGTCCTGTGTACACTCTACATTTGTTCATTAAAATACTCAGGAATTTTGCTGCCCTGTTCATATTCAAATTTAAAACATAGGGTCTATATTAATTTGTTCCCTATGCTGTGGTAAAGACAAAGCAACTTGGGGAGGAAAGGGTTTATTTCAGCTTACAATTAATGGTCCATCATCTAGGAAGTCAGGGCAAGAACTCGAGATAGGAACATGGAGGCAGGAGCTAAAGCAGAGGCCATGGAGGGGTGCTGCATACTGGCTTGCTCCTCGTGGTTTCTTCAGCCTGCTTTCTCATACAACCTAGAAGCACCGGCCCAGGATTAAGACCACATGAATCATTAATCAAGAAAATGGCCCCAAGATTTGCTTCCAGACTAATCTGACGGAGGCATTTTCTCAGCTGAGGTTCCTCTTCCTTGATAACTCTATTTTGTGTCAAGTTGACAAAAACCTATCCCACACAGGGTATTTGTATTTTCATGTTATGGGTTTAAATGTCAGTAAAATAATGTTA